AAACTTTACAAAAGGGGAAGGGAAAAAGGATTGGGATCGAGAATCAAATTAAGAACCTCACGATCACCTCACCTGATCAATTTTCCTACCAATTCAGTTGGATTATAATTTGACCAATACAGTTATTAACCTATATATAATATGTTTGGTTCTTCAACATTACCCATAAGTGATTAGGAATGCTAACCGTTTAATTTGTGTGTATGTTTCTGTATGTGGTTGCACTGTTCAATTTCAAGAAAATTTTAAGCAATCTTTAGTATGGTAGGTTGCCTTGATTTGACCTTCTAGGCCAATAATAACCATTTATCTTAATTAGCCTATGAAACACTGTGCAGATCTCGTGGATGACCCCTAAGCTATATCTAGCATAAACCACCACAATGACTTGCGACCTAAGATGAAGACTGATCTAGCAGTTAAACACTATGCTAAGACCATATAATTGTTAGATATCAAGCAATTAAGAAGAAACAATCGTGTCAAATCACCTATCAAGATGTAGACCATAATAGAATCCGATCCTCCAATCTCAACTTTCCTGTATTATCTATCTACGGTATACATCTGTCTGTTCAACTTCAATCATGTCTGTGTTCACACTTAAAAAGGTATTGTTTCATAACTTGTAAATCAGGTAATTTGATATGATACCTATTGGTGCACCTGATTAAACAATGTTTAGTGTGAACTAGATTGGTCAGAGAGCATATGTGCAGGACATTCTATATGAACATGCTGCACAAAGTTGAGCTTCTTTTTTCGTTCGAGAATAAGCAGTTCCTACCGACCATTATACAAATATTGATCTATAGTATCATCCTAAATTCTAGAAACCCAATATATAGCCAACAGTTAGCAATCTGCAGTTTGGCAAATGGCAATTGAAGTCATGAAATGCACCATGCAGCAACCAAAAAATTGCACAACGCCAAGAGATTCATGGGTTTGGCTCATCTCGTCGCACAACTTCAAAGCTGACTAACTAGCAAATGCAAATGGCTGGTGGTTCCCTTGAGGCTTGAATGAAAAAGACTCGAGAGAGCGTAATAGAACACTAGTATATCCTCTTGCAAGTGTCCGTACCAACAATTGCAACAAGCCAACAGCCCTTGATCGGTTACATCATGGCAGCTAATTAAAGCACATTTTAACTAATTCCGAAAGTTTTTATTGCTATACCCTAGTATTTCCATTTTCTTCTGGCACTATTAATTGCTAAAGGAAACTCAGTTGATTTTTATTTCTATGACCAGTCCATCAGGCTCTCATCATCTCTTGATCTTCCGGGGAATTGTTGCTTAACAACTTTCTTGAGGATTTACTTTGAAAAAAAAAAATCTAACACTTGGACAAATCCAAGCTTTAACAACCCCCAAGCCCTTTCTAAGTATTAGCTGTTGAAACAAATTCAAGCCCTTTGTACGGCAAATGATGATTGCATTATTTGGATCTACTTTTTCGTTGATTTTTTGCAAGCACTCATTTATAACAAATTCTCCTTTCTCTCTTTGTTTTTTTTGGCCCTTTGTTTTTCTAGTGGTTTTTGCATGATGAAGTTGGAGAATGCATATGAGCCTATGAAATTGTAACATGTAGTAGTTTTTTACTTCGAAGCTAAGGTATTTGGTAGCAGAGGATGTTCAGTTATGAATTTCGCTTCCTCTCCACTCAAAGGTGTCTTGAATATGATCACTGGATTTTTGTTCCATCTCTCACATATCGCCCTTTCTACCTAACCTTTGGATCCGCATTAAAAGACCACCACAGCATACAGTTGATGCAGCAAGCTTGTGCTTCTCCCCTCATAATTTCTTCACTATTAGACAACAACAGCTTGGCCCTTTATTTGCCTCACGTCGCAATCTTCGAAAATGAAAGATGTAAAGAGATGTTAAGGTAATTATACTCTGATGATTTGATTTTCGCATAATAATCATCTAGAAGAGAAAATCAAATTTCCTCCAAGTCGTGTGCAGTAGAATGCAGTATGTAGTAGTAATTGCTTCACAAGCAAATTCTTTCCGAATTTTACTTCGATAAAGTAATGCACGTGGCAGCAAAATGTTACCATAGAATGCAGTATGGTTAGAATAATAGAGTAAGCAAATGGGAAAAGAAATTAAGTTCAAATTAATCTAATGATTGGGAATAAGACTCTTAGTTGGATTTCAACAAACATTTGATGGATGAATTGGTCGGCCTGCACGCTTGCAAGTTAGAAAGCCCTTCAGGATAAGTTAACAAATAGAATTGATGCAGATGCTCCACTACTTTAGTCCAATTTGGCATGGCAGTAAAGTTATTCTTCAAAACTTTGTTAGAAATGCAATGCCGTAGACAAGAAAGCTGAAAAGCTCTTTCTATAAAAATAACAATCCGTGACCAACAAAGCAATCCATGCTAATTTTGTCACTTAGTGAACACCATTAATTAGTAGTAAATTGGGCATCCAATCATATCCTAAATAGTACGTTTTCAATGTATGCTGTGTTTTGTGATGCCCGTTTTTCACCATTACTAAAGCCAATACTTGATTTGAATGTTTAGATATGCCAGATTACCAAAGCCAACACTTGATTTGAAGCAAACTTGACCGGTTAGTTCTGTTTATTTTTATCTTGTGAGGTGAGGATACAATACATAATCTTGATTTCCTAGTGAAAAGGTGAGGCACCGGAGCTTGGGGAATAGAACAAAGGGCTTCACATGGTGGGGTGAGGGTGGTGTCATCTCTACACTGAGGGGCATTGAAAGCTGCCCCCCCCCCCCTCTCCTTCCTTTCTTTGCCCTTTTCACCTAATCAAGAAGGGTGTCCTTATGAGGGTGGTCCATTGTCCCTCACGTTTTTCCCAGTTGAATGTTAATTGTCTTGCTTCGGCATCTTTCCTTTCCATACTTAGCCGTCACGCTTTTTGTGGCTTGGTATGTATGTGTATATAAATGATAAATCAAAGTGAACTTCAGCAGACCATTGCTGATATTTCCCAAATCAAGATTTTCTTTGACCTCTAATTTGCACTGGGAAAATGGCACGGGAAATTTGGACCAAATGCAAATTTGGCCTCACTATTTTGGGTATGGAATAGTTTTAACAGGTATTCTTCGCACCTCCGCAATACTTAAGAAGGAAGGAGTAGATTTTACTGCATTTCCTGCTGCACTTGTGTAGTGCCAAACTGCAGAATCCCCGGATTCTGAGTTACTAATCATTCTTGAAAACCTGAATATATCATTAGTTATAACGTGCACGAAATAAATATTTTCCATCCCACGAAACGTCTCTACATTCATTAACCTTTGCAAGCCAACTCATGCCCGAAGAATCACTAGGACCTATACCATAAATCAGGAAAAGGTTTTGACAAACGTAATCTACCAGATGAATGAATACAACCAAAAGAACGTATACAAAATTTACATTAATACTTTCTTGATGATCGTAACAAATTTCAGCTGTACCGCTCTACTTAGGTAGTTTTTTTTTTTGAATCACCGTCAAACCACACGATGCACCACAACAGTATGAATTTAGGACAAACCTCATATTGAGGCACATTGATGGAAGGCAAGATTTGAACCCTTGACCTCCCACCCCACAATTAATATGGTGGTCAACTCCTCTAGAGGGAGTTGGTTGCTCTACTTAGGTAGTTAGGTTACATTAAAAAATTTTAGGAATTTGTTTTCTGGTACCAAATTCCCTATATATCCGTAGGATGTCTAACAGGTTCCTGATTATTTTAATTGTACAAAGAATTTTGAGGCAAAACAACAATGTCGCTTTCTTCCTTGTATTCTCTCTTCAAGACAGCTCACTAGTTTGGATTTTTTCTTTTCTTTCTTTTTTTTTGGCCCCCCTGTCTTTTTGTTAAACTCAACGTCACCTTGTCATCAGTCCTAAACAACTTTCAACAATATGTTTAGGGTTAGGTATTAATCTGGCTTTAACTTGTACATGCCTATCTTATATATCAGTTATTATCACTCATGTAGCACCTAGCTTCACTGTCTCATCTTCGCCCATCTTCCCCAACAAGAATCCAAAACCCACAAAGATTGAGAACAAAATGGTTATACATTCCAGTTTTAGGATCAAAAAATTCGATGGGTAACGAAGATCCTTCATTATCACCATTCACCAGTCCCCCTGCATCCCCAGTAATCAAGAACCAATAGAAAATGAAATGCTGGTTTTTTTTTTTGTTGCGTGAACTAAGATGATGTCAACCCCTTTTTTTCTCTACAATTGTGTGTTAGGAACTTAAATCTTGTTAATATCCTTGCTATATTATACTAACGTAACCAAATGATTTGGGGAGAGAAATAGATCGGATGGATCGTAAGAAGAGAATGTGGGTGAGACGTCTCGAACTCGGCCCCGTTTTCAAGCATTTAGTATATTTTTGTATCTCCAATTATAACTTAATTTATCCTCAAAAGAATGCCACTAAAAGGTAAGAACAAATAGTGCCATCTTTTTACTACTTTTACAGAAGTTATTTTTCTGTTAAACAACTTTACGCAAAGTTCAAAATAAAGAGAATAATACTTTCATCTTTTAGGACCAAAACTTCTTTTTCTAAAAATAGGACCAAAATATTAGATCGTGACAAGAACAATTAGGTAAATTAACCCATAGATGTCCTTCCATGTTAGACGGCAGAGAAACTTCCGATTCCTGCCATTTGCATATTTCTCAAACAAGTTGTCCTATTATTTCTCATGCTCATCCCTTAACTGTTGCAAACCCCTCAACTCAACCGACCAAAGCAACCATTTTAGGCTCACTAAATTTCATAATTTACCCTTCCAATTTCCCCTATTGATATTAGGCTCCCATACTAAGTATAAGGCCATATAGTAGTTTCACCCTCCGTCAGTTTCAGCTACATGCACTCGCTACGAGTACTGCAGATAAGATCCGGTATAGGAGACCTGGTCATTCTCTTCAGTTGATAAGATCCTAAACTAACTCTCAACTGTCACCGGAATCTTGAATCCCCCGGCGACCGGAAAGAAATGAGCATCCCTTTTCAGCCAATGAGCAATTAGTACCAATATGGGTGAAGAGAGCAGAAGCTGGCCTAGACACGAAACAAGCCGAAAATTCATCTGGATCATCATCATCATCAGCCCTGGAACAGAGAAGTATTGAGCATGCAATTCAGGTCATATCTTCACTGATTTCTATCTCTCATTCCATAAAAGTTTTTGCTGGAAAATGGCAATCTATTCGCGACAGGCTTGAAGAACTTCTTTCCAGCCTCACGGTTATAGAAAACTGTGATTCTATTGACAACCCTTCACTTGTTAGCACTCTCAAGGCCATATTTCATGCTCTAAGGATTGTGATGATCTTGCAAAGAGCTGTTTGAGGCTATCCTTTAGTGGGAAGCTGCTCATGCAGAGTGATCTTGATATAGTTTGTGCAAGATTGAGCGATTATACTAAAAGTCTCTCTGATATTTACACTCTTGGATTGCTTACTCAGAATTATGCAATAGTTTTATCAAGGCCGAATCTTGGAGCTTCGAAAGATGACATGAAGCTGTATGTGAAGGACTTATTGTCAAGACTCAAGATTGGTTCTGCAGATATGAAGGTACAAGCTTTGATTTCCTTCAATGAAGTCATTCAAGAAGATGACAAATATGTCAAGATTGCGGTGGAAATCGAGAATTTTGTCGGTCTTCTAGTGAATTTTCTTGATTCACATGAGACTGAAATTCAAGAAGAGGCTGCAAAAGCAGTTTCTGTGATTGCAGGGTTTCAGGCTTACAGGGGAGTATTGGTTGGTGCGGGATAATTGCTCCACTGATCAGAGTTTTGGAAAGTTGGAGTGAATCGAGTAAAGAATTTGCTGCAAGGTGTCTGCAGAAATTGACTGAGAATTCAGATAACGCGTGGTCAATTTCAGCTCATGGTGGGGTTACTGCCCTGATGAAAATATGCAATAATGGAGATAATTCTGGTGAATTAGTAGGATTGGCTTGTGGGGTGTTGAAAAATCTTGTTGGAGTAGAGAAATCAAGAAATTCATGGTTGAAGAAGGAGCAATATCTGTCTTTATCAAGCTGATACGGTCTAGAGATGGTGCTGCAGTTTCACAAAATAAGTTCAATTGATATTCTTCTAACAATGGCCTCAGGAGATGAATCAATTAGGCAAATAATTGTCAAAGAAGGTGGGGTTCGCGCACTAGTCCGTGTTTTGGATCCCAGATTATCATTCCCCTCAAAAGCAAGGGAGATGGCATTAAAGGGCATCATGAGCTTTTTGCTTTTCCTCTGTCAATTGTTTTAACATATTGTTAAATTATGGTTTCTTGGATCACATCATGTATTTTCTTCACGATAGGAGGTTTCACTCCAAGAATTAGCATTAAAGGCTGCATTTTGGCTGTGTGGAACGTCAGAGGAAGCAAAGAAAGCAATGGGAGATGCTGGATTTATGCCTGAATTGGTCCAATTTCTTGATTCTAAGTCATTGGAGGTGTGTGAAATGGCATCTGAAACACTCTATACAATGATTTTAAGTACCCAAAAACAGAAAGAGATTTGTGCAGAATGAGCAGAACGTGGGACTTCTTCTACAAAAGCTTGACCGAGTGGAGATGAATTCAGGTAACAGAAAGTTACTGCTTTCCATTTTGATGTCACTGACCAGCTGCAACAGTGCAAGAAAGAAAATTGCAAATTCAGGTACCTCAAAAAGATTGAAAAGCTTGCGGAGTCTGATAACTCAGATGCAAAAAGGATTGTCAGAAGGCTTTCCTCCAATAGATTCCGTAACATTTTTAATGGGTTCTGGAATTCCTGAACGTTACTTTTACTTCTTATTTATTAAATTGTCCTGTACATCACCATTATATTAAGTGAGTTTCAGTTGTAATTTTAGGTAGATCTCCTTCTTACCCTTTTGTCTTCTGCAAAAAGAAAAATACGTGTACAACATCTATCTAGTTCATCGTAGCATTAATTATTTATAGGGTTCCATTGGAATGAGAATTTTTGTATTAGGCCAATAAATGCCTCTGAAGGGAAAAAGGGCATTTAAGTAGATCTTTTCTATGGTTTTGTGAAGGGCACATGGGAATGGCATGAAATGAAGATAATAGGCATGTGATCAGTAGCAATCAATGCTTTGTCTTCCTTCAATTTGTACGAAGAAGAGAGTGATGGATGATATGGGCATTTGGCTGGCTCAGTCCTGTAATTGCTCGTCTTTCCTTCCTCAGCCAGTGTCTCTTTCTTTCTTTCTTTCTCACTATGTGTTGTGCGTGTAAATAACGTGTGCGCTGCTCCTCTCTTCCCATGAAGAACTTTCGTCTTGAAGAGCCAATGCAAAATCCATCCAATCTTGTGCAAACTTGGCTTCTCGTCTCTGATTCAAACCATTTCAAGTGCTGGCCCGACATTGTTTCAGTATTAAAAGGCGAAAAGAAAAAGGGAATGTTTATCAACATTTTCACCAATTTATGAAACAGCATCTGTGTTATAGACTTAATAGCGGTCAATAATAGAGTAGTAGTTCATTGTGAAACAACCATGGTTCAAAGTTGTGGTCGCAGTTGCGATCACGGTTCGGACCGTTCCATATCGGTTTCAGCATATTGATCACGATCTCGGCAAAACGTAAATTTTTGAAATATTTAACATTCTAAAAATTGATAAAAAAAATAATTAAAAAATTAGCGAAACTAATAAAAATTTAAGCTGACTCGGGATGAATCGAGACGACTCGACCGTTTCTATCCGTCTCGGAGACGTCTCAGCCAAGTTTTCGACGATTCATTATCTCGGAATCATATCATCCCGGTATCGGAGCCATTCCAGTGCCGAGTCTTTGAACCATGGATACAGCTGGTTTTAGTGCAAAATTCAGTGAATTATAGACACGATGATGAGGGAAACATTGGGGACCATCTTCTATGTCCACAAGCCATTGCAGTGAAGTTATTGGACCGGTTTGCCGGCCTTGTTCAAATGAAACTGCCCCCAATAGACCATATCTATAATCTATGGGAGTGGCGCAACTTTTCAAGTGAACTGATATCCATATGTTCCATGGATGTTAACAACTGTTATGTTGTTATGTTCACCTGCAGATTGAAACGACACAAAATCCTGCTCCTGCACAACAACACAAAAATATTTTCTAAACTTTCTTGACTTTTTGTTGCAAAGATTCCTTGCAAAATTTGATTAAACGGCGCATCACGGGAGGCTGTTCCATGTCGCATCAGAATGTTGTAGTGGAGCAGCAAGTTTCGTGCACGTCATCATTAACATGAATTTCTTGATAATATGATGCACACGATTTAGGAGTTAGACAGGCCCGAGCACAGGCTGAGGCTAATCACGGCTCCTTTTCAACAGTATGCGGTCACTTCTAGAGATTTGGCAAGTCAGAACCCAAGATTATCACTTCTGTTGTGTTGTTTACAGGGTAAAAAAAACACCCTTTTGTTGTTCGGGACGAGCTAGTGCTGTAATTCTTTTATTTGGTGAGATACGAAAAGAAAATTCCCAGTACCGAAAAGGGAGATAGTTCTTCTCGATGTCAGATTCAGGAGAATTAAAGAAAAAAAAGGACCATTTAGGAGATTCCACTGCTTATATGTCCAAATAAGCCGACAGAAAAATTGCTTAGGTGGTCTACAATAGCCTATTTGGTCATTCATCCAACCATTAATAGAAATGAATGAATAATGTCTATTGCTTTGGTGCAGGGGTTCTTCGACTCGCAAAATATCCTAGTAAATGATAACCACTTTTGACTTCTTATGACTCCACTAATCCACCTAATCCGCTATTTCATTTTTTTTATATATATAATTTAGAAATCAATCACATAATTATATTAGCTCGCAAATTATCAAATACACATGGTACCATTATTCTAATTTTCACCAGACTAGACTAGGGTATGCACAAAATCGCCTAGTAGAGATAAAACATGATTAATTTTCCATAAAAATTTTGATACTAACAAGGGACAATCACTATTTGGGCTGTCTTCATGGGAAAAGTGCCCAAAGCAAACTGAAAGTTTGGGCCTAACCCATGGGTGCAATAGACTATTGGACATTACTTGGGAATGGGCTGACTGTGGCCAGAAATCTTTCCTGGCCGAATGGAATCAGCCATTATTTTAGGACTCTCTGACCTTTTCCTTGCCTCGTTAGGAGTCCATGTCAGTGAAGACAAAAACTAAACTGGACACATGGGCTTGAGAGCAAATTGTGCTGATTGAGAAATGGCCCAACAATCTCCAGCAACTCTTCTGACAAAACTTGCTCCCATGAGTTTGCACATGCGTTATGACGATTTCGCATTTGATTTAGAAATTTCTTTGTTATTGTATTCAATGTGTCTTTGGCATTCACGAATTGTTTTAAGGGCTTTTTTTTCTTTCTTTTGGCCTATAAACTGTCTGCTTCTAAGTTTTTCAGATATGAAATTTTATCACCCATTAGAAGGGCTACGCTAATTTCTTTTTTTTTTTTTTTTTGTCAAAACACCGATTTACTATGCAAATTAGAATCACCTAAGATTTACATTCTAGGAGAGAGTTGAGTTGGATAATAAAACAAACAGATATGTTTTGAATTTTCTTGCCCTAGTTTCATATTTTACTGCATCGGCTCATTCGTTATTTTCTTCCAGTTCTCCATTAATATACAACTGGTACAACCTTTCTCTGGACTCAGAATTTTATGACGTTGGACGGAAACTTTTAATCAAATAGATCTCGTGATCCCAAAAAAAATAATAATAATAATTTCTGCCGAGTTTCCCTCACTGTTCTTTCATGATTTTAGTAGTTGAAGCCGCACGTTATTAGTTGTTCCATTTTAGCTGTATCCTTGGCGACTGTAGACAGCAATTTGACTTTGAGATTAGAGTAATGATGCTTTCATATGGTGTATTACGCGGTAATGTGGAGTACAATTACTGAGTTGATCGTTGCTAAATTAACGTATGAACTTTGAGGTTTGAATCTAATTAGCCGTTAAGAAAGGTGAATAAACTAAACTTTGTTCTATAAAATGTTTGAATGGCAGTATCTGCTGTATACTATTTGTTGAAGTCAACAATTATTTCTGCAAAAGATAATTTAAACTACACATTGACCAAGATCCATTGGTTAAGAAGTCCTGTTTTTCCAGCATAATTTTTGTTTCCGATACTTTAAGAATCATTATTGATGTTAAAGAAATTCTGTTAAATTATACACTTCATTGTACCAAGTACTATGCATGCTTTCTGCTCTGTCGTTATCCGAATCCTAGAAAAATTCATTGCTGAAATTCCACTCTGTCATGATGTGAAGTATTACGCTTTCTTGCACGTAATGAGCTAATGTAAGACACGTTCACTTAAATGGAAATATGTTAGTATATATAATTTGTAAGTACAAATTTATGCGTGTATTGTGTATTTAGAATAGAATAGCAATTTATTCCGAAAAATATTCACACATGTAATTCTTTTTTAATTTTTTCATCTCATGTTGTATCCATTGTACTTGACACATAAAAGACCACTAAAATGATTATAGAAAACTAGTCAGTTGAATGAATACTCTAATAGACATCTAAGAATCTTTGCATGTATCGTATGCAATGTTAAATAGCGTGGTTATGATTGATCCCAATTTAATGTTTCTTTTCAACAGGCATATATATATATATATATAGACATAGTTCCTCTTCCTCATCTTTTATTTCCTTTTTATTTTAAGATAAGATAGAGCTATGAATGGCCATTGAATGTATTTGGAACTTCCAAATTGCAATAAACTTTCATTTTCGAATTCATTTGCATACCTAATCAATCACTTACTTGGAACTCTTCACCCCCAACAAAACCAAAAGAAAACTGAAAAAAGGTGCTCACAAAACCACTTTTTAAACCAAAACCAACAGTGTATGGATAAGCCAAGAATAGATCCCAAGAAAGGTTATGTTTTAACTTTGGGTTGCTTCTAATGAATGAGAATAAACGACACATGTCAACAAAATTGATTCGGTTGATAAAAATAAGTCGTTTTCTTACAACAGATTATGTATTCGAATTCTATTACTGATGCGAGAGTTGTGTAAGTGAGCGATCTGCAAGTGACTTGTTTTACCTCCAAGGCCCCAACAAAATGCTGTGAAAAGTTTACTCAAATGCATTCTTGGTTTATCCCAAATAATTGAGAGAACTATTAACAAAAGAAAAAAAAATACTAGCAAATTTACTATTGAGCATGGATGTCGACTAGTGATCTAAAATATTAAATGCGCTTCTGGGCTATAATCCCGATCTTTTGCCCCCCCCCCCAAAAAAAAAAAAGGCTCATACGAACGAAGCAGCTGCCCGAATCCATCTCGTGGAATATTGCAATAAACTTCTGGTGTGATTGCTACAACTCAATAACGTCTGGTGAATTACCAAAGACTATGGAAATGGCGAAACTAAGAATCTCCATGTTACACGGGAACGGTCAAATTTCATTTGTCCTCACAATATAGACTTGCCTCTTCAGAACAACCAAATTAATGTGGTGTAGTATTCATATGATGATACATCCTTTTCCCATCACTTAATTGGTTAGGGGTCAATGTTGCATCAATTTTCCTTTTTCTGATTTCTGAATTGTCAAACTCGAAACATCCTATTAGGTAGGAATTAGTCCTCTCTCGTACTTGTGCCCATTCACAACTTGCATGTGCTTGTGTTTATTTAATTATTTAAGCATTTGCAAAGGATTGATGAGAGAAAATCAAGAATTTGCCCAAACTGTAATAGTTATATAATGGATTGTTATTATCATTATAATGTAGCTTAACAAAATACTATAGATTAGGGTTAATTGTGATATGCAATTATTATGCATCTCTCAACCTACCATTTTACACAATAAACTGTCACTCGTAGCTACTTCAATACCTTTTACTATCAATTTGATCACTTGTTAATAATCTTGGGTAAAACAAACTATATTTTTTATTTTTTTTGTGGTCGACGAGAACAAAATGCAACTTTCAAGTTGACGAATCTTTTTGAAGTCCACTGGTGATATAGATCCAGTAATCAAGCATGGAGGTAAAATATCCCCACCGTCCCAAGTGGTCCTTTATCGGAATTAATATGATAGGGACGGACTTTTAGTTTCTTATCACTCTAAGACAGGCCATGAACTGGCAGCAGAGCAGTTTCTTTCCAATGCCCAAAGCTTACGAGATA